CCGCCAGTGTGGCTGCCTCTAGCTGAGCAGCATAGGACAGGAGGGGGCCTCAGTAGTGATACCAACTGGGCAAGCCTGGCCGTGCAGGAAGCCAAGATGGCAAAGTGGGTGGTGAACACACCAGGCCCTGGGGGTCAACCTGAGAGCCCGGAGGCGGGTAAAATGCAGACCCCACCTGGGAGATGCCAACTCGGCCTAACCCAGCTGCCCCTTTAACACCAGCTGCACAGGGAGCACAGCTGTGAGTCTGGAAGGCGAGCGGGTAGAACGAGGCGGGGAGCTGGAGGGAGGCCGGAGGCTGGCTGGTGCGAGAAAGGGAAGCATGGCAAGGCCCAGACTGCACTGCGGGAGTCGGGTCTGAAGCACAGGCTGGCATACTATTACGTTCACCTGGCCCCACAGAGAAGCCGTGCTGCTGCTCAGCCCTGTCACTAACTCCTGTTGAGGGAGCAACCCAAGGGGCCAACAGCTGTTTTTATCACTTTACTTCCAGAAACGCCTTAGAAGGCAGCAATTCAAAGCCATCGCGCCTTACGGAAACTGAGGCATAAAAAGATTTAGGGCCTCGTGGATAGAGCACTGGCCCTCGGACTGAAGGGTCCCAGGTTTGATTCCGGTCAAGGGCACATGGCTGGGTTGAAGGCTCAATCCCCAGAGTGGGGAATGCAGAAGGCCCCCAATCAGTGATTCTCATCATTGATATTCCCATCTCTCCCTTCCTCTCTGAAATCGATAAAAAACATGAAATCGACAAAAAACATATTAAACAAAGAAAAAAGGTTTAGGACTTTGTCCAGAGGTGACAAAGTGAGAGCGAGATCTAGACTCAAACCCAGGTTGTCTGGCTCAAGAGCCAGCAGTCGGCAGCGCCCAGAGGGGCTTGCCCAGGGATGCAGGACTTCACCCCACTCACCTTCAGTTTGGGCACCTCCTGGATCCTCACGTCATCGGTTATCGTCCCGACAACCACGGCGGTTTTGCCCTCCCGGCCAGGAAGCTTCATCTTGCGGATCTTTGGGGGAGGAGATCCACATTAAGTCCCGCCTGGGGTCTGAATCCAATCCCGCAGCTTCAGGCAACCAAGGACCAGGACAGCGGGCCCTAAACCCACCCTCACCCCTCCCTCACACTAGCACAGGCCTAAGCTAGGTTCCAGGTTTCTGAACAGACCCCCCCGCCCCCAGGAGGGTCCCTGACATCTAAGACTGGCGTTGCATGACCCGAAGCCTCAGGATGACCTCATGAAGCCACTGTAGCCACCCCACCTCACAAGGCCAAGCAGCCAGGCCAGCTGAACTGAACTATAACCCGAGGGTCAGAGCTCCAAGCCCACCCTCCTACTCAGAGCCCAGCTCCCGACACAATCCGGTTGCTACCCGGGCCGGCTCTGTCCGCCCCGCAGCCCCTCACCATCCGGGAAAGGGACAGAGGCGGCCGGTTGGTGCGGCTCATGAACAACCTCTTCAGCACCACTTGGTTGAAGGTGGAGTTGGTTCTTCTGGCCAGAAACCTGTATAGCTGCAGGGAAAGGGAAAATGAGGAACGAAGAATTTCCAGGCCAGGTTCCCCTCCCTCCCAACATTCTAGGGGCAAACAAATGCCTTCTGGCTTTCCCCGATCTCAGGGAGCTCCGGGAGAGCCAGCCCAGGTCCATCCTGGTTAGGGCCCCAGGAAATCCTCCCCGCTCACCCCCGACCCCCAGCACAGAAGCTGGAAGCACCGAACTTCCAGAAGCTCTGAGATGTGAGCCCGGGGGCAAGCCGCTGGGAGGAGCCTGGGGCGACAGGAGCATGGAAGCCCTGGACGTTGCAGGTTTGGGGTGGCCCTGCCCCAGGGCCACAGGCCCCCGCCTCACCTTGACCAACAGCCGTAGGTAGATGTCCTGGCTCTTGGGCTCCTTGCGCCGAACCTTCGGTCTTTGTTGTGGCGGATGTCGACTCCCTGCAGGGTAAAGGGGGGAGCGTAGACCCCACTGTGAGCTGCAGATTACTCACCCCGTGACCATTACCAATGATTGTCTCCCAGAGAGGGCCGGAGCCCCGGTCTCTGCAGACACAACAAATCCCAGGTCCACCCCCGGGAAAGTCGCTCCAACTCTCTGGACTTCAAAGGACTCCCCCTGTACGAAGGGGCTAACCCTACATGCAAAGCCTGCACGTGGCACCCAGCCCGTTGGGGGAAGTTTTCACACAGTAGCCACATTGACTCAGTCAACATTTTTATTTCTTTGTAAATTGGCTTTTTCGACAAGGCGCGTAAGTTCTCAATGCTGCTCCCACGCATGGAGAATGGCTAAAGAAAACATTCCCACCACCGGCCGGCGCTAAGAAGGTTCCCACTTCAGCTTGAAGAAAACTCAGGGAAGGGCCACCATTGCCACGATCCCCCGGCCTGTTTCGGGGAGGTTTCCTTTGCAGACAGTTATGACAGCTGCCGTTTAACCAACACTTATGCACGAGGCCATGGTGAGCACGTCACACAACCTCTCCCCAAACTCGAACCTGAGAGGCAGGACTGCTGTGCTCCCATTAAAAGGATGGAGCAAGTCGGGCACAGGCCGGGGGAGCCCGATCACAGGGCGGGCGGGGAGCCCAGACGCGCACGGAGGCCTGCCTGTCCCCAAACCCGGGCTCGGGACGCTCGACAACCCCCCAGGACCCAACTTTTCGGGTTGGGGAGTGACAGGTCCGGGCAGGGGCGGCAGAAGGCCGGAGGCCGAATGGCTGTGGCACCAGCGCCTAGGATCCTGGCTCCGCCACTTCCTGGCATTTCGACCCCGGTGGTATCACTTAGCCACCTCGTACCTCACCTCAGGCATCTATTCAATGGGAGCTATCTTGGGAAACTACGGGAGGGGTGGAGGCGGTCATGACTGACGCATCCCTGCTCTTCGGGGGCCCCTAAATAGCCCCGCCACCACGGGAATCGCCTCCCTCGGACACCCCCAGGGCCCCTGCCTTCTTCTGGCGCGCCCCCAGCCCGAAACCGCGGTGGATGGAGGCGGATGGCCGAGCCCCGAACGCCTTCAAAGCGCACTCACCATGATGGCGCCTTCTGCTCCACCAGGTCCGGAAAGAGAGAGCGGCGCCGGGTGGGCGGGGAAAGCCTGCAGCGAGCGGCGCCTACGTGACGTCACACTAGCGCGACCCGGCACGCTAAGGCGAGTAGGGCTTCTCTATGGTGAATCGGACTGACGGCTAGATGGGCGTTTCCGGAATGAGGGGGGCGGGACAACCAAAGAGGAAAAAGGGCTAGCACGTCGGGGGCTCTCTAGCCCTACCCAGACCCTTGTCTCGATGCTCTTCCGGAAGAAAGGGATCTGGGAGCGAGACAGATGTCGCGCGCGGACCTGGGAGGACTGGTCGCGCCGGGACTCTCTGGCCCGAAGCCGACTACCTCTCTGTGACTTCAGGAGGACTGGGCAGGAAGAATGTCGGCGAGGAGGAGGCGGGGCAGGAGGGGCTGGTCTAGACCGCGGGGAAACCTCTGACTCCGCGCTCGGGTCGTTTCCTTATCAGACTGTCTTATCTGGTGTTGTGCTTCCAGGCGCGGCCGCAGCTTGGGAAGTCCTGCTGGAGGTCTAACCCGAGATCTTCCTTGCTGCAGCCCAGCCTGCATTTTTACCTTTTAGGTTTTGCTGCTCTCTCTGCCCCGAGAGGGCCCTTCCCTGATCCCTCTGCAGCCTCTGCCACCGGGGGGGCGGCTTTTCTCAGCCAGAGAGATTCAAATGGCCCAGCGGGTTCGTGGTGAGGGATGTGCACGGTGCTGGAGCGCAGAGCAGGCCGACTGAGGTCTCGGGCTTGGGGGTGGGGTAGAGAGCGGGGATGGGCAAAAACAAATTTCTGAGCGGGGAGGAGAGACTTACAGTGGTTCTCAACCTTCTGGCCCTTTAAATACAGTCCCTCACGTTGTGACCCAGCCATAAAATTATTTTCGTTGCTACTCCATAACTGTAATGTTGCTATTGTGATGAATCGTGTTGTAAATATCTGATATGCAGGGTGGTCTTAGGCGACCCCTGTGAAAGGGTCATTCTACCGCCAAAGGGGTCGCGACCCACAGGTTGAGAACCGCTGACTTAGAGGGAGACAGATTTAGAGGGGAGAAGGAAGAGGCATCCAGAAGGGTAGTGGACAAACACTGGCTTTGGCGGCGGGGGGGCGGTGAGGGGATGTAGAAAGAGGCGGGAAAAGGAGATCCAGGGAGGAGCAGAGACATAGGAATATTAAAATTCCAATAACAGTGTGATTTGGGGCAACTCATTTAACTTCTCTGTGCCTGACTTCCCTTATCTACAAAAAGGGGGTGACCCTAGGCCTGGCACATAGGATGTTCTCCCGCGTTATATAAGTTAGTAAAAATGCATGGGACAATGCTTCCCACATAAGAAGTGCTCAATAACAATTAGGCCCTGGCCAGTTTCCCTCAGTGGTTAGAACGTCCGCACAAGGACCAAAGGGTGGCAGATGCGATTCTCGGTCAAGGGCACATACCTGGGTGGCAGGTTCAATCCCTAGGCCCCTGGTTCGGGCCCAAGTGGGAGGCAACCAATTGCTGTGTCTTCCTAGTATCCGTGTTTTTCTCTCTCCCTTCCCCCTCTCCCTCTCTCTAAAAAATCAGTGGGAAAAAAATAGCCTCAGGTGAGGATTAAAAACAAAAAATTTAGGCTCCACCCCTATTTATTGATTGGCCCAGACGTGATGAACTGGTTGGGGCAGTGAAAAAGTTGACCTCTTCTCTGTTTCTCCCTTTTCAGAAAGGCCCTGGGCTTCAAACCCATCCAGCCTGGCCTCCTGTAGTCCGCCCCTGATACTCCTACCCATTCACTTCTCCTCCACAGCGCCCAAGGCCGGGCGGAGCCATGAGGCCTGACTCCTTACCGTCCCACCCTCCCATGGCCTTCCCCGCAGGCCCAGCGTCCTGTCGATAACACAGCAGAGGGCTGGCAGGCGAATGGACATCTCCAAGCAGAGGAGCGTGGATCAGGTAAGGGTCTCTCTGCAGTCAAGGTCACCGTACCAGGGGGCGGTTCCCTCTGCCTCCTTGCCCCTCCCTGTGCCCTCATCTCTGTAACTTGGTTCTCTGTCTTTGAGTCCCAGTCTCTTTGGTCCGTGTGTCTGCCTTTCTCCCTGGGCCCCAAGCTCAAGTGCTGTGTTTCCCCGTCTCTCCGTCTCACTGGGCTTCTGTTCCTCTCTCTCTGGGTCATCCTTTGGCAGGCATGTGTATTACCTGGTGCTGTTGCTACTCTGGGTTGAACACCAGGTACATTTTGGGCAATAAGTGAACTCCTTCCTCCATGCATCTCCTTCTAGAGAGCAAGCTCCGCCCCTCCCTCCTTGAGCAGGTGCCTCTCTCTGTACAGTTCTGTCTGTTTCTACGTCTCCTGATATTATTCTTGCCTTGATTTCTTTCACCTTCACCCGATCTTTGCCTCTCTCTGTTTCTTTTTTTTAAAATGTATTTTATTGATTTGTTACCTCCTGCACACCCCCCACTGGGGATGTGCCCGCAACCAAGGCACATGCCCTTGACTGGAATCGAACCTGGGACCCTCCAGTCTGCAGGCCGACGCTCTATCCACTGAGCCAAACCGGCCAGGGCTGCCTCTCTCTCTGTTTCTGTCAACATCTTTGCTTTCTGTCTCTTGGTCTCGGTTCCTCTCAGCCTCTGAGCCTTCAATATTCTCTCCCCTGGCCCTAGCCAGTTTGGCTCAGTGGATAGAGGGTCGGCCAGTGGACTGAAGGGTCCCAGGTTCGATTCCCGGTCAGGGCACATGACCAGGTTGCGGGCTTGATCCCCAGTGGGGGGCCTGCAGGAAGGAGCCCATCAATGATTCTCATTGATGTTTCTATCTCTCTCCCTCTCCCTTCCTCTCTGAAACCAATAAAAACATTTTTTTTAAAAATATTCCCTCCCTGTTCACCCTTGACCTAGTGGTCTCACTGGCACTGTATCTCCCATCTTCCTTCCGTGTCTCTGTCTTGTCACGTAACTGAGTCACTCACTAGGCGGAAGTTTATGTCATGCGCCACTCTGGTTTGGGCCCAAGGTAAATAGTTTTGTGACATTTTAAAAAGTTGACATACAGTATTACATTAGTTCCAGGTGCACATATTACAAAATGACCACATGTCCAGTTACCACCTGTCACCCCTATAGAGTTAATACAATATGTGACTGTAGTCCCCATGCTATACAATACATCCCTATGGCTTATTAATAATTTGTGAATTAAAGATCCTCTCCTCCCTGGTTTTCATTCCAGAAGTGTTAGTCCTTCTCTCTCATTCTTTCTATCTCTCTCTCTCTCTCTCTCTCTGTCATTTTCTGGGTTTTCTTTTTTTTTAAAATATATTGTATTGATTTTTTACAGAGAGGAAGGGAGAGGGATAGTTAGAAACATCGATGAGAGAGAAACACCAATCAGCTGCGTCCTCCACACTCCCCACTGGGGATGTGCCCGCAACCAAGGTGCATGCCCTTGACCAGAATCGAACGTGGGACCCTTCAGTCTCTGCAGGCTGATGCTCTATCCGCTGAGCCAAACTGGTTAGGGCTTCTGGGTTTTCTTGAGTCTTAACTTTGCACATTCTTAATTCTACTGTCTTTGTCTCTTTGTTTATCTCTCTGCGTCTGCCTGACTCTATCTTTTTAAAAATATATATATTTTTATTGATTTCTGAGAGGAAGGGAGAAGGAGAGATGGCAGCATCAGTGATGAGAATCATTGATCAGCTGCCTCCTGCAGGCCCCCGACTGGGGACCGAGCCCTGCAACCCGGGCATGTGCCCTTGGCCGGAATCGAACCCAGGACCCTGCAGCCCGCAGGCGGGCGCTCTATCCACTGGACCACACCGGCCAGGGCTGCCTCTCTTTATCTTAAGAAGAGACAACACTCTCTCCAAGTCCGCCATGGCCTCGCACTGCTTCTCTGGGTCTCTTACTAATGCCCTTTGCGTACCTCTTGGTCTTTGTGGCCCGGGTTAGGGCCCGTCCCTTTATCTGCCTCTAAAAACCTCCCTCCAGGGCCCTCCTCTCTCATAAGTCCCATGGCTGGACCGGCCCCTGTGCCCTCAACAAACATGGCGCCTGGTCCCTGGCGGTGGAGTCGTGACAAGCGGCCGGGTGCGCGCGTGCCCTCAACTACAATGGCAGCGGGTCTCGCGAGCGCTCCGCCTCTCGTCGCTGGGCCCGCCCCCCGCGCTCCCTCATTGGTCCGTCTCAGGCCAGCCGCACGGCCATTGGCTGAGTGGAACCACACTCCCCGCCCTCCCCTCACACACCCCAGGGTCAGATGGGGGCGGTGGGTGCTGACTGGAGGGGCAGCTTGGAGGAGGACCAGGCTTGGGAGGAGGCTGTGGGGGTCCCGGCAGGGTCCCGAGTCTGGGGGACCGCGGGACCAAGAGGAACGGAGAGACGCAGGCCCGGGACTGGGGTACCAGGGCTGTGGGATGGAGATGGAGAAGCAGAACCGGGGCTGAAGGATCCAGGAATGGAAACCCAGGTCTGGGGCCGGCTGGTGGAAATCGGGGAGGGGCGTGGGGGAGAGGAGGCCCCGGACACGGGGAACCGGAGACAAAGACTCAAGCTTATGGATTGGGAGACCTATGGATAGAGACCCAGGCCCGGGTCTGGGGTACCTGCGGGGGTGGGTGGGGAGAATGGAAACCAGGCCAGAGACTTGCGGAGTAGAGACAGGGGACTCGGACCCAGGACTGGGGGAGATCTAGGGCTCTGGCTACACCTGAATTGGGGTGGGGTGGGGTGGGGTGGGGTGGGGTGGGGTGGGGTGGGGTGGGGTGGGGTGGGGTGGGGTGGGGTGGGGTGGGGTGGGGTGGGGTGGGGTGGGGTGGGGTGGGGTGGGGTGGGGTGGGGTGGGGTGGGGTGGGGTGGGGTGGGGTGGGGTGGGGTGGGGTGGGGTGGGGTGGGGTGGGGTGGGGTGGGGTGGGGGAGCCTGCGGGAGCTGCCAGGGCAGGGGGCAGAGGTGACTCCCTAGGGTGAGGCCACAGATGGGGGTGTGTCTGGGGCAGCTGAGGCACAGGACTGGCAGGTGGCTGGGTGGGCGGGGCAGAGGGGAACAAAGGTGAGGAAGGAGGCGGAGGCGGCAGAAGCCAGGCCGAGGGCAGGGGGAGAGCCTCTGGGGAGGGGATCTCAGGCCTGGCTCCGGGTCCCTCCTTGCAGAGCAGGCAGCCAGATGCCCAGGTCAGTGCTCAGGGCCCAGCTTGGAAACCCTGTCCCTTGCCGATGCCTGCATGTGGCTCCTCTGGCTCTCGGACTCCTTAGTCCCTTCGAGGCACATCCCTTTCTCAGTCTTTCCTGGTGTCTGCATCTTCTACCTCCTGCCTCTGTCTTCTCTTTTCTCCCCCTTGTCTTTTCGACCCTACGCTCTCGCTCTCCTTAGTGTCTTGCATCAGTCTGGTTTCATTTCATTAAGCTGTCTGTCTCCTCTCAGCGTTTCTCTGGCTCTCAGATCTCATCCCTCTTTTTCTTCTCGTCCAGGTGTCTCTCCCTTGTTCCTTTCTCCATCTGGAGGTGACCGGTGTGTGGGTTTTGGTTTTCTCTGCCTCTGCATGTCCCTTTCTGCCTGATTTCCCCCAAAGCCCTTATCATCCAACACACTGTATTTCTTTATCTTGTTTTTCTGTTTTCTGATTAAAACATAAACTTTATGAAGGCAGGGGGATTTGTCCATTTTGCTCCCTGCTGTGTTGGCTAGGCCTGGCACTGTGATTGGCACATGGAGGGTACTGAATAATTATTTAGGGGATGGATGAATGAATGAATGAATGTTTGCATGCCTGGGTGTGGACCCTCCAGGATGCGGGCTTTCCTGTCCAACCGATGCCTTCCCTGCTGCCTCGGGGTCTCCCCACACTTGTCTGGGCCTGTCTGTCTGCGGGGCACCTGTGATTGTTCCTCACCGTCTCCCCGTCCGCGGGCCCTGCCCATTTCCCTCCATCTGACGTAGGGGTCCTGGATTCTGACTCTTGTCCTTCTTTCCCACAGACGCCAGAGCCGGAGCTGAGCTGGAGTTGGGGCCCCAGGCTTAGGACTGTCCAGGACAGGGCCGGAGCCATGGCCCCACCGCCGCTGTCACCCCTGGCCACCAGCACTCCGCTCCTGCATGGCGAGTTTGGCTCCTACCCAGCCCGAGGCCCACGCTTCGCCCTCACTCTCACATCACAGGCTCTGCACATCCAGCGGCTGCGCCCAAAGCCTGAGGCCAGGCCCCGGGGCGGCTTGGTCCTGCTGGCCGAGGTCTCGGGCTGTTGCACCCTGCGCAGCCGCAGCCCCTCTGACCCGGCGGCCTACCTCTGCATCTACACGTATCCTCGGGGCCGGCGTGGGGGCCGGCGCAGGGCCACGCGTACCTTTGGGGCTGACGGGGCGGCCACCTATGAAGAGAACCGGGCCGAGGTCCAGCGCTGGGCCACCGTCCTCACGTGTCTGCTCCGTGGACTGCAGCTGCCTGGGAACGGGGGTGAGGTCCCGGGCCAGCTCGGAGTCTCTGCGCATCTCCCTCTGCGGGCGTCTCTGTCTGCTTTTCTGTGTGTCTGTGGAATGTCTGTGAGTCTGTCATGGAAGTGCTACCAGACAGGCATAGGCTACAGGAGGAACGAAAGCACAGGCCGAGGGAAGCTATTTGTGTCTGCTGCTCTCTCGCTAGGTTTTGTCTCTTCCTTCCCCTTCCATGGGTCCCGACCACGGGTGAGTCAGAGGCTCCCGGGCCGATGAGAGCAGCAGACCGAGACGTGGTCAGTCACCACCCAGGGCGGCCAGAGGTGGCAGCTGGAGCATTAGCCGAGGGGGGCCCAGAGGAGGCTTTGAGGCGGAGGACCCCCACCCGGGGGGCCTCAGTTGGCACAGGAAGGTCAAGGTTCAAGGGTCCCCATCTGGCAGGACTTAGTCCTCCAGGGTCCTGCTGGCTGCCTGGGGGACGGTCCTAAGGGATGGTGACAGTAATGGAGCCTCGCAGAGCGGAGCAACCTGATCTGGGATCTGGGTGTTGTTGGTGAGGAACGGAGCTCTCCTTCCTCCCACACGTGGGTCCAAAGGGCACTGGGATTAGACACCCAAGCCCTGTCTTTGTCTCAGAAGGGGGTGGCGTGGGCACGTGAAGCCTGGGAGGCAAAAAGAGCGAGGCTCCGGTGCCAGCCCTCCAGCTGTCCACTGGGGGCTGTTTGCCATTGCTGTTTCTGAGGTCAGGGGCCTGGGTCTCTGGCCTCTACGGACACCTTCCCCTCTCTCTGCAGAAATCACCTCCCATCTTCTGCCAAGGCCACCCCGATTGCTTCTATTGGTCAATCCCTTTGGTGGGAGGGGCCTGGCCTGGCAGTTGTGTAAGAACCACGTGCTGCCCATGATCTCCGAAGCTGGGCTGTCCTTCAACCTCATCCAGACAGGTGAGGGCGGTGTCAGGACGGAAGGTGAGGGCTTGGGGCCGAACTCCCGGGTCCTGGGGGGTGGAAGAGCCTGCCTCACCTCCTGGTTTCTCACATCAGAACGGCAGAACCATGCTCGGGAGCTGGTCCAGGGACTGAGCCTGAGCGAGTGGGACGGCATCGTCACAGTGTCGGGAGATGGGCTGCTGTATGAGGTAGGGCAGGAGGCCTGGGCCCTGAGCCCTGGGTGGGGGGGCGGGGGGGGGACTGTGGAGGCCAGGAACAGGACCCAGGTGTCTGCTTTCCGGCCCTCCAGGTGCTGAATGGACTCCTCGATCGCCCTGACTGGGAAGAGGCTATGAAGACGCCCGTGGGCATCCTCCCTTGTGGCTCTGGCAATGCCCTGGCTGGAGCCGTGAACCAGCATGGGGGGTAGGTGGACTTTTCCTGCCTCCGGTGCGCCTGGGGGTACCCTGAAGGAGGGCTAACTGGGGCCGGGCACATCTTCCGCTCCCGCTGCCAGTCCACTGTCAGGTTCATCAGCCTGGCACGTCTGCGGGTCTTGTTCCCAGTTTCCCCAGAGCCTAGAACTGTGCCTGGGACACAGGTGACACTTAGTGAGTTCTTGTGGGATGGATGGAGAGGGAACCTGGCCCAGTAAGGAGAGTCCATCTGGAGGTGGCCAGATGGCTGTGGGTGGGCCTGGGGACAGGGCCGGCCGGGCCCCTTGCTGTCTGCCTGTCTCCTCCCCGCTCTGCACTGTCTCTCCCCCCACCCGGTTACTCTTTCTCACTGTCAATCCGTCTCTGGCTCTGAAGGTTTGAGCAGGCCCTGGGCATTGACCTGCTGCTCAATTGCTCTCTGCTGCTCTGCCGGGGTGGCTGCCGCCCGCTGGACCTCCTCTCTGTGACCCTGGCCTCGGGCTCCCGCTGTTTCTCCTTCCTGTCTGTGGCCTGGGGCTTCGTGTCAGACGTGGACATCCAGAGTGAGCGCTTCAGGGCCTTGGGCAGTGCCCGCTTCACACTGGGCACGGTGCTGGGCCTTGCCGCGCTGCACACCTACCGTGGACGCATCTCCTACCTACCTGCCGCCGTGGAGCCTGCCTCACCCGCCCCCGCCCATGGCCTGCCCCGTGCCAAGTCAGAGCTGACCCTGGCCCCCGTCCCAGCTCAAACCGTGGCCCACTCACCCCTTCATCGCTCTGTGTCTGACCTGCCCCTGTCACTGCCTCAGCCTGCCCTGACCTCCCCTGACTCACCGGAACCACTCCCCGTCCTGTCACTCAATGGTGGAGGCCCCGAGCTGGCCAGGGACTGGGGCGGGGCTGGGGATCCTCCACTGTCCCCAGACCCACTGCTGCCCTCGCCCCCCAGCTCCCCCAGATCAGCTCTACTCTCACCCATCATCGAGGGGGCACCCGAAATGCCAGCACCCTCTGGGCTACTGCCTCCCACCCCTGATGGTGACCCGGTAGCCATCTCTACTGGAGGCCCACCAGACCACCTCCTTCCTCCCCTGGGCACCCCACTGCCCCCAGGTTGGGTGACGCTGGAGGGGGACTTTGTGCTCATGCTGGCCATCTCCCCCAGCCACCTGGGGGCTGACCTCGTGGCCGTCCCCCACGCGCGCTTTGATGACGGCCTGGTGCACCTGTGCTGGGTGCGCGGCGGCA